ATGGTCAAATTACAAAAACCCCCCTCTTGTTTGGATAATTACATCTACCCCCCTCAACTATGATTTTTTCTTAGACCTCCACCTCTATGGTGCCAAATTCAACATAGTCATCTAGATTCCGTGAAATGTGATCTAGTTTGTACTCTTTTTGTGTAAAAAATACAGTTTCCGATGCACCACAAACTGATATATACAAGCTGAAAATCACATATTATGATCATCTTGCTTCATAATGTAGAGTTTGAATGGGATAAAACGGGTACAAAAGTGATAATATTCCATATAATCTCGAAGATTCCACTAAATTTGATGAGTTGAAGGGGGTGGTTGTAATTATTCAAACAAGATGGGTGTTTTTGTAATTTGACCATACCTCAGGGGGTGTTTGTAATTTACCCTATTTTTTATTTTATTATTATCTGTTTCTTGTGGTGTTAGAATTCTATGAATTAGGTACACAAATACGCAATCACTTGTTTGCAACAATGACAGAAGAGGAATTAGGTTCGTGATTTTTATTTATTTTTTTCGTTTTGTTTTTCTTATAATATTATTTTGTATGTTTGCACCTATGTAATGTATTTCATTAATACACGTTTGAGTATATATATATATATATATATATATATATATATATATATATATATATATATATATATATATATATATATATATATATATTTTGATATCGCTTTCTATATACAGTAGAATCTCGATAAATAAACAACACCGCTTAAATAATATATTTTTTCGCTTCCGACTTAGTGTAAACATATTAAATTATTAGTTCGATAAATTAATAGGATTTTGTTTGTCCCGAAAATATTGATTTATAAAAATTTAACTATACGCTAACTTAATTTCAAAATTATAATTAATCATTTGCTCATGCAATCTTTAATATATCAAATAAATTTTATCTCATCTTACCGAAATCTCTCACAAAGCTCCAACACTTGATAATGATGTGCAGTGAAATTATTTTGTTATTCTAATAGATTGACAATTTTTAATCCTTTTTTTTTTTTGCTTAGTAAGCTTTTTTAATAATATATAATAATGATGAATAAAAGTAAATAAATATAAAATGAGGCGGATGATGACCACTTTTTAAAACTTTTTTTGCTAATAGAATCAATTCAAATACAAGTTTTAAAATTGGATAGAAATTCAAATAAAATTATACAGGTATACATTCAACTCAACTCGATTCATTTATCCCTAATAATATTGAGTGTGTGATCAATGAGGAATAGTTGGGAAAATTTAGGGGTATAAACGAGCCGAGCTCGCGAGTTTTTTCGAGCTTGAGCTCGAACTTTTTACTCAACTCATCGAGCCCATAAACCGACTCAGCTAATTTACATCCATACGAGAAATACATATAAATAGCATACCAAACAAATCTTATTACTTAAGTAGCAAACCCTTAGAACATTAAATCCCCAAAAAAGCAAAATAAATCCATCTTCTTGCAAGTCAATTTGTCTCATCCAAAACAAAATCAAAAACCAAAGCATATTTGGGGGGCC